GAGGGAAGACGAAAATTGCGTTCGCACCCGTTTCTCGCGTTTGGGTGGACGGATATGTCTGGGACTTGGTATACGTTTTGCTGTTGGGCTGTAGATGGTGCACGTTGTTTTGGTTTTTTAGTATGTGTGTTTTAGTGCGTGAAAATGATGCGTTTAGACCGCCGATGGACACCCCTTTCAGTGTTGGTCGGGCCTCAGGTTTTGACCTTTGCATGTATAATCACCATTGAGGTCGCGACCACTGATCTGACCTTTCACACAGAGGGGTGTCAGCATTCTTTGAAACTGTTCAGATGTGAACCACATGTGCCGTCAATCAACGTCTCGTGCCTGGTGGGATCGCGCGGGTCGCAGCCAGCGAACTTCCGGGTGGGCCAATGGGTCAGGGGTCAACGCCCTCTTGCGCAATTTCGGATGTTTTCGGCTTACAAATGCCGTGGTATACTGTCTCAGACCTTCTCGGGACTCGGTGTATCTTCTGTTAATGGGCTGTAGATGGTGCAGGTTTTTTTTGTTTTATTGTATATGTGTTTTGGGGCGTAAGATTATTTGTATTTCCTTTTCGTGTCTCGGACACCCGTTACTGTGTTTGTTTACATTATCGCTGGTCGCTGAGGGTCGGGCAGCCAGATTCGCCACGGGATGCCTCCTGTCCTTTCTATTTTTGGGCTCCAGTCGGCTAGGGGGGATTAGTGATTTCACACATCATTTAGCCAATTACAAACATTTCGAAACTTTTACGAAAAAAATGGTATTCGCGCGAATTCACTAGTTAATTCAAAGAACAGTCCCAACATGCACCCAACATTCTGCAACATACATTACAATACCCGGAGGTACAAAATCTACGATTTTCCTTGTTTTTATTTTTTTTCGCCCTGTCGCTTCATATTTTTTCTGAAAAAATCCGAGAAATAACAAATTAAATTGGTGTGGCCTTACATGTATGTTCCCAGTAGCAAAAGTTTGCAGTCTGAGAAAAATGCAGGTGTTCATGGAGTATTTGTTAACAGTAATGATATGTTTGTGGTACAGAAGTGACAAAGTTGAAAACTGCAAATTTTTAAAATAGAAGTATCATGAAAAAAATCAGTAATTCATTATCATGGTATTCTGTACCTGTCCCTATAAAATTATTGAGGTACAAATGAACAACTTGATCAAAATAATACACATTCAAGGACCCCATTTTTACACTTAAGATGTAAGCAAATTTTACATGTATTTTAAAGATGTTAATTTTGAAAATATAGCACATGCAAATAAGGAAAATTTGTAATATTATAAATAGTCTTGTTGTCAGATTAAAATATAGAAATACCCATAATAAGGAAGCAATTTACCATTAAAATAAAAAGGCCAAACCTGTTTAGATAACCTAAAACTGTTCACCTGTACAAGTCCTGAACCTAAATTTTCCTTCGGCACACATACAGTACAGGCCACGAAATACGCATCAAGTTCTGCGGGACGTACCGCGATATTCCGCAGGACGTCCCGCAATATTCCGCAGGACGTCCCGCAATATTCCGCACGACGTTCCGCAATCTTACGCACGGCGTTCCGCAATCTTACGCACGGCGTTCCGCAATCTTACGCACGGCGTTCTGCGGTATTTCGCAGGGCGTACCGCGGTATTCCGCACGACTTCCCGCAGTGCACCTGAGAGCACTTTCGCAGAACTTTGCAAAAGTTCCGCAAAACACCTCTCCGTAAGGCCGCGTTTCCGCAGAAATACGTCCTTTTCATATGCAGGCCACCCGCGCCGTGGGCGGAGAAAGATCACACCCGGTTTGTTTACATTTTCTATAGCGCGGAGTGAAAATGTTCATGAGATCTGCCGATATTTTTACCCAACAGTGAAGATCGTAAATTCCTGAGCTAGAATGTGGTTTAATAGATTGAGTTAAGATTTCTACCTCTCTGAAACGTGCATGTACACAATTATATTTATCGAAAACATGATCGCTGTGGTCTGAATTGTTACAGGGTTCTAATTAGCGGGAGCTTTGTTTCTTGATCTTGTGTTTCTTGTTTTGAAACCCACGCTGATCGCGGAACACTTCCCGGTGGAATGAACGCCAAAATTGTGTCAAATACACAATAAACCCACATACAAATACAGTATATATGTATTCCCGAAAGATTCTTTCAGTCCTGAATTTATTTACTAGAATAGTCTATTTTTGGTCGTACAAAACAAAACAGCATTTGGAAAGAAATACATAATTTTACTCTTTGTCCGGCACCCCACGCCGCCGCTGGCTTCCGAGCAACAACCAATCAGTTTTTAACCGTAAAATTTCGTACAATTCGCAAAGTTACCATTCTGGGATTTAGATGTTTGAAATATACATTCTAAGGAACAGTTTCGTATGTAGTTTGTGTGGTTTTGAGTTAATTAGCGCGAGGATTGGCGAGAATGCAGAGGGTTCGTAGCGGTGGACGTGTGTTGCACTCGAGTGGGAGGGAGCGCTTCGTAACGTGCGTCCAGAAATGCCGGACAATTTTGATCGTGAAAAATCGTACAATTTGTAAATATAGCGATCTTGGATTCGGATATATTGAGAAATACATTTGTAAGGAACAGATTTGTGTATTGTTTGTGTAGTTTTGAATAAACCTGCGCGAGGATGTAGAGGGTGCGATGTAGTGGGTGCGATGAAAATGGAGTCGATTTTTTTGCCAAAAAAAAAAAACGGCAACGCACCCGAAAAATAAATAAACACGGTACGGGACAACCCGAACTTGACGTGTTTATGCAAAATTTGACGCAGATTCATTTGTTCTCAGACTATAAAAGTTGACTCTGTGAAAAATTTTGGGATGAAATCGGGACAAGAAAATTACAAAGCCGCGCCGGTCGTGCAGGGCGGAACAAGCTACTGTCGTCTAACAATCTTCAGGCGGTGTCTCTGGGCGGAGTCTCAACTCTTCTGCGGCCCGGCTGGTGGGCGGGTCCCCGTCTGCGCGTTGTGATTGGCGCGCCGGAACGCCACGTGGTCTGCGGCGCCAGGGAGTCTACCAGTGCCGCTGCTGCTACGTGCGGTTACTATGGCGACGTGCGTGGGAACGCCCGGCCCAACAGCGTGGCGAACGAAATGTATCAATTTTTGATGCGTGTCAACAAAGCCATGGGGCGTAAAGAACCCTTGAATTATGCTTCGCGCTTGGCACAATAATATTAATTCTCATATGCAAAAACGTTAGTTCGACTCTGAATATTACCACGAGTCTTCCGTCAGCAACAACCCAAACGAACGCCTGAATCTATACACGTACACTCGAAGAACCTAGATAATACTAGTAACGTTAGTAGATTATACATATAGTCGGTAAAGATCGGAACTGTAACGAAGATAGGCGAATATAAATTTGTCACATAGAAACCAATCACAGAGCCTCGGTTATAGTCGGTGAAGATCGTGTTTGTAACGAAGACGGGCGAAATCATTGGAGCAGCCCAGCTAGACTGTTGGCGCCGACGGCAGGGGCGGCAACTTCTTCAAAGGGAAACGCCTGTCGATCAAGTATGTGCGTGTGGCTATGGGAAAATGCCTCGCTCTAAAATGTATCACGTAGTTCTGAATCGATAATCACAAACAGCAAGGAGCTTCTACAACATATAGCGTCCTTGCAAACAGGGACAATATCAAACTTCGTTATTTTTGGCCACAGAGTCGAAGCATTTAAAGCTTAAAATTTTAAAAAGTGGTTTCTTCGGCGAAGTCATGCCTTGCAGAAAATGTTGACGATACACATTACGTGTTCGACCGCAGGTCATTGACCTCCAGCTTGCGTTGTTCCAGCGGAGAAGAGCGTCTGGCAGTTTTTATAATAGCGTCAGATTTTGTTTGTTAAATCATACACAGGCATTCATGCATCTATCATTCTTCCAACTAGTTCGTAGTTATGTGAGATGTTTATTGGAATCACACGGATCGGAACAAACTCAGCGTATCAAATAGTAAACATCAATCGCCCAAGCACAGCCGTGGCAGCGTCCGACCCGCCGCGCTGATAATCCCCGGTATTGTCCACAAATTATCAACAAATACGTGAAAATGAGGTGGAATAAGTGTCATGTAAATCTCAGAATACAAAGGCTGCTCATTAACGACCGAAATCTTGCGAAAGATTTCTTACGCAGAAGAAGTTTCGCAGCGGCGTTTCCATAATACCAGTGGAAAGTTCTGCGAAATTCTGCGGGACGTCCCGCAATCTTACGCACGGCCTTCCGCAATCTTACGCACGGCCTTCCGCAATATTTCGCACGGCCTTCCGCAATATTCCGCACGGCCTTCCGCAATATTCCGCACGGCGTTTCGCGATATTCCGCACGGCGTTTCGCGATATACCGCAGGACGTACCGCGGTATTTCGCAGAACGTCCCGCGAAAACTGATGCGTATTTCGTGGCCTGTGCTGTAACTCTATATAATATATTATGAATATCCAATCACATTCAATCTAAGTGGTACTGGTACATGTAAATGGTTACTTTGGGATGTGTATATAGAACAGTAACTGTTGCCAAAACTAAATATAGATACATGTACATTGTACAAGCTCCAACATGTATGTCCATGTAGCCAGAAGACTACTACTAGAAAGGCAGTTTTTGATATATTCACATCAATGATAGTGACTCATATTGGGTCACCATTTCTTTGTCAAAGCAAAGAAGTCTCAAATATCAACAGCAGAAAGATGGAGTCTAAAATTCCGCTCACCCAGACATGTTAAAAATAGATATGTTGTGCCCTCCCCCATGTCTGTTGTGGATAATTGATGACCGCCATACTTGAGGTCAAGCATCAGTGTGTGGCAGGAAATTCTGGCATGGTGACAACTCAGCGTGCACCGTGGGCCTTCTACCACTAGCCTGGATGTCAGACAGAACATGCTAGGTCCATAGAAACCCAGCAATTGAGGGGGGGGGGCTTTGGTATTATTTCCTTGGGGGCATGTTAACCCTGGCCTGTGTAGGCCCTGGAAACAGTCTGACACCCAGGCTATCTACCATGGGCAGCTATCAAACAGAAGAACTAAGGAAGATCTTTCAAGGAAGGTTTTACACTTTTACAGTAAACAGTACCTTCTGTCAAATTCATTTTATTTTCGCTATCATTTTGTGGTAGAAGGGAAAGGGTGGCTTCATCAAATGCAATTTTGAGGGCCGCGAAATAAAAACAATATTCTGGATGAGGAAATAGTCTGATATTTACCATTTTACACGGGGGAGAAATTTGTAAAAGTGTAAACTACTGTGAAAGGTTCAAAATTTAAAGTAACAAAAACAAAACTCACCTGATCCTTTTGTACAAACACCGGCGACACTGGGCTCATGCCGTTACTGCCGTTCCGTTCAGCATGTTCACCATCCTGGCAGGCTTCTGTGTCCCCTCCCCTTCATACCCCCCCTTGGTGGGCGATCCCGGCGAAGCCTCTCCATCCTGCCACTGCTTCTCAAACAGGGGGTTGTGGTGACCGTGGAGGGGGACGTTCTTACTTCCCGACCCCCTCCTCTCCAGCGACCTGGCCGGGCTGCCGTCCTTAGATCTCGTGGTACTCTCGCCGGACGCGAGCTTTTCGTTCCTCTCTATCGTACCCCGCGGGCTATCTCCTCTCGACCTCAGACTACCTTTCCTTTCTAGTCTCGGGCTACCTTCCGTTAACCTCCCTTGTCTTTCCAAACTGCCACCCGGGCTGCTGTTGGGCATCATTCTTGCTTTCTCCGTCGGGCTGATACTGTCCTTTGAGCCGTTGTACGACGTATTGCTGTTACCGGCTCTCGTTCTTTGCTCCTCGGCTTTCGCGGTGGGGTCCTTCTTGTTGCCGACTTTTTTCGTCCTCTCCAGGCTTTTCCTCCTCTCCAGGCTGCCGTACTTTTCGCACATGTTGATGATCTCCTCCAGTCTCTGCCGCTCCATTTTCTCCACCTCCTGTTCGCGGATGCGGTCGGCGCGAGCCTGCTCGTAACGCTCCTCCACCGGACTTTTCCGTTCCAGGCGGAGCGTGGAGGTCGGCGACGAACCGACCGACTGCAGACTGCCGTTCGGCGAGCCCACGCTGCCTTCGTGGATGGGAACGAACATCGCCCGCGGTGAACCGAGACTCGGAGGAGACTGACTCTCCTCTGGGTAAGCGAATTTTGGCGACTGTTTACTGTGAGGAGACTGTTGGCTGACGCCCCTCGGTGACACCTTTGGTGAGTCGGGCGATCGAGGGAGCGAGAGAGAAGTGTTTGAATACGGAGGGGACCTTGCGGGCGGGGACGTGGTAAACATGTTCCTAGGCAAACTCGCGCTCTGGCTACCCGTGGGAAAAGGCGCAATGTTTTTCCTCGGGGGTTTCTTCGGAGGCTGTGGCTCGTGCGCGGTTGTCATGGCTAGTGAGTCCAGTATGTCTTGTAACTCGTCCTCCAACGTGTGGTCTATGCCATTCTCGCTGGACTTTTTGGACGGCCCGTTGGATTTTGGGCCTGCGGGGTTGTTGTCATTGCTGTAAGCCCTGAATGCACTACCCTTGCTCGACGGTGGCTCTTGTTGCTGTTTTGTCAAAGGTCCATTTGGCATGGCCGTACCGGCACTGCTGCTGTTCTGCGAAGCTTGGATGTTTTCTGCAAGAGACAAGAAGGCGACGTATTGATTCTGAATCTCATTGACCCCTATTGACTCACCAACTTCAATTGCTAGCCTCTCAAAAAGGGCAGTGAATGTATGTAACAATCTTTGTGTGAATCATGATTCATCACAATACAAGCTTTAGGCCACAGCAAGACTTTTTTAGTAATCTTTATGGATGACATCAGCGCGCGCATGAATTTTCGCCTGATTTTGGAAAAAAAAACAAGAAATTTTGTTGCCTTCTGACAGTGGTGACCATGCCAAAAATGGGCAGAGATGTCTGTTGCCATGCCGGAACGTGGATGGCAGATAACTACGAAGAGAGGAGACAAGAAAATGCTCTGATTTAATTTGTTTCTTACTTTGATGCAGTGACATGTGATGCTGGCTGTGTATATGTGTTTCCACTGAATCAAAACCATTTGTACAATGATTGAGTCAAAATTTGAAATTGTAGGAACCTTGTTTTTTTCGGCCCACCTTGATTTTTTTTCGCCCGCTCGCATTAGATTTGGAGTCTGCAGAGGATGTCATCCATAAAATTTACTTGCAGTGGCCTTACTATACACTGACTATCAGGCTTTTAGTTAGGATTTTTTTGTTGGGTGTCCATTTATTCTATCGTATGCTATGCATAGCAAAGCTCCGCAGCAAGTGGCACAGGCACAAGCTTTTTATGGGGGGGGGGGGGCTTTTTACCTCCATGAAAAATGGAGGTATTGTTTTTGGCGGCGTATGTCTGTGTGTCTGTGTGTGTGTCTGTGTGTGTGTCTGTGTGTGTTTCCGCAACTTTGTAGTCAGCATAACTTCATAACGCCTTTATGGATTGTGATGATATTTGGTATGCTGATAAGTCTTAGGAAGACAAAGGTCAAGGTCAAATATGGGCCTCCTGGTGGATGACCTTGGTACTGCAGCAGAACTTCCGGTTTTTGTATCTTTGGTCCTGAACATGCTATGGTCTTGAATTTTTGGTGACAGATAGCTTTTCCTGTCAGGAATAAGTGGTGTGGGTTTGGTCCCCCTAGCAGCTTGTTCAGGAACTGCAGGGGACTTTCGGGCGAAATCTTTGAAAGCCAATAAGTCCAGATAGGAACAGCGTATTTTCATCATTTTTGGTGTGTAGGTATCTGACAGAGAGATGTACATAATTAATTGCAAATTATGCAAATGAGGACTTTATTTGCATAATTAATGAGGAAATTCTATAATTACAGTGTTTTACATTATAGAACTTTCATACATGTAATGTATATAACCTATGGTAGATCGAACATCAACAGATACTAATTATGCAAATGACCTAATTTGCATAATTAATGCAAAAAATCTATGATTCCTCAATGGTGAATGATGGGAATGTCATACTTGGGACATCTGTAAGTTAATCAAAAGTTAACATCACGATGCATATATTATGTTAATGCAGAGGTCATTTGTGTAATTAAAGAAAAAATTTACATTTACATATCAAGCCCATATTTCATGGAGGTATGAGATCTCGGAACTCTTGTTTAAAATTTGTAATGCTCTCCAACACTACTTCCTACATTTTGAGATGCAAATTTTGAGGAAATACAGGGTACAGCCAAGTTTTCTACCTTCAAAAATTCATTACAACATCATTTTTGTAAGGCTGAAAGGAGGCATGTGTGCATGGTAGGCGGTTGGGAGGGGAAAAGATACAGTGTCTTTAGTGCGTCCTTCGAAAAAGTAGGGCGTCCAATTTCTTCTTATTTTCAGTACAGGGACTGTCCAAAAGACACCCAGACACCCCCCCCTAGCTAAAAACCTGCTGACTATATCATCATCACTATACAATAACATTTTCTTACACATTGATGAGCACTAGTGCTGCATACCTAAACCCAATTTTAGGTTCAGGCCTGGATTCAAGTCCAGAGGTTTAGGTTCAGTTCCAGACTAAACCCATGACATATACAAAATTGCATGTTGGCAACCTTGCAGCAATGTTGTCTGGGTGAAACTTTGGCCACATACATGTAACATGGAGGCCGGTACTTGACGATGCCCGATGGCAATGTTTTCTTCATTTTGCAGCAAAGATTTTGCAATCTACGGAAGATTTTAGGTGGTTTGGAAAGAAAAGGGGTATGTGAAATAATAAGTCTGGACTCAGTTCTTGACTTTTAGGTTTTTTTGGACTTGAACCTAAACATTCTTACAAGTCCGGATCCAAGTCCAGTGAACCGGTATGCATCACTAATGAGCACTATCGCGTGTTTGATGCATTACTTATTTAGAATTACACACTGGCGATCCTATGAATGATAGCCCCTATTACCAAGACTTGGAATTCTATTACGACTATCTTTTACTACCAGAAAAATACAAACTAAATCATAACTGATACTGATCTGTTAATACGTTGACCTTTCATCCTTGTATCTACTAGCCTTAGAAAAATTTCAGGAAGCTGAGAATCTGAGATCCTTAATTAGCAACCAACCTACTACAAAGTAGGCCTAGGAAAAAAAATCTTGTGTTTCCTGTTTCCCGACTGACCCTAGAAAAACCTGCCGACCCTAGACTTTTTTGGGGGGTGGACCCCTGCAAAGAACAAAGAACATAATTTTTTCTACTATATATTCTAGCTCCATGATCTGACACCTGAGTGATAAAATGTTGTACAATTGGTTTTCTAACATTGACATTGAAAATAAAAGTGTCCTAATGCAAGTATCACTTTGTTAAACTGTTTTGTATAAGTTGGTCCCCTATATAGATATCACTGAAATCTAAAAGAAAAAAAGAAGATAATCCCTACCTAGGCCACACCAATTTAATTTGTTGTTTCTTGGATTTCCCCTGTCCATTTTTTTCTGATTTGCAAAAATAAAAAATTTGTGACTTCATGGCTCATATTGGAACATTTCCGGCTATCATGGGGTGCCTTGGCCTGTTTTTTTTTTTATTTCGCCCTGTTGCTTCATATTTTTTCTGAAAAAATCTGAGAAACAACAAATTAAATTGGTGTGGCCTTACCGACCCTAATTTCTTCAGGACTGAAACAGGAAACCCCATCATTTTTTTTCCTAGGCCCTACACGTATATCTGTGTCAGCACACATAAATACTCCATGGCTTTTAGCTAAACCGTGGAGGTATCAAGGAAAATGTCACAAGCCATTAAGGGTTTACTTCTTCTGCTTGTTCCGTAACACGTAGTGCTGCAATAGATCCTAGACAAATGACCAAGGGAAATGTCGCAGACTGTTTTTGATGTCAGTTCCATGTCTGGGACTGTTAATATCAATAAATGGTTCAAAACACTGTTGGTAAGTACAGGTAAATGTCAAGTGAACAAGAGCTATCTATTTCTGTTTTTTTTTCCTTTTCCTTTACTTGGCTTTAGCCACAGTGAGTCAATGTTATGGATGACATCTCCTACAGACTCAAAATCTAATGACAAAGCACAAAAAACAATATACTAGAAACAAATTTAAACTTCTAAATTTTTAAAATAGAGACTATAAATGAAGTAAAACCTACAATGTCAATGTCAGAAAACAGATTGTATAATGACATCACTCAGGTGTCAGATCATGGAGCTAGAAAAGGTTGACCAGCTCAAAAATTTATGTCCCTTGCAGGAGTCCACCCCTTAAAAAGTCTAGGGTCAGCAGGTTTTTCTAGGGTCGGTCAGGAAACAGGAAACACAACATTTTTTTCCTCTACGATCAATTCAAGGTGACTGCCAGGGCCAGGCAGTCGCTGAATAGATTTGTGACTGGATTGACATGGAGCTAGAAAAGGTTGATCAGCTCGAAAATTTATGTCCCGTGCAGCGAGTTCACCAAAGAACAGGCTACGGTCGGCAGTTTTTTCTAGGGTCAGTCGGGAAACAGCAAACACAACATTTTTTTTCCCTAGGGCCACACCAATTTAATTTCTTGGTTAACGGATTTTTCTAGAAAAATAGTGGTGCGGGCGGGCGAAAAAAAAATAAAAACAGGCCTAGGCATCCTATTATGGCCCAAAATGGTACGATAGGAGCCATGAAGTCAACACACCAGGCTGGTTCAAAATTTAAACAATGAATTTTGAACTTTTAATGATACCATTGCATTGAAAGATGGAATAACTGTAACAACTAGGATGAAAATGACTGTTTTCAACTGTTCAGGGCAAAATATGAGCATTTTGCAGTTGATTCTGAATTTAACAAGCAGCACTTTAATTATGGAAAAACACTTTAATTATGGACTCCTCGCTAATAACT